CACGTTTGCTCGCCTATTGCAACTCGTTTTGACCCACTGTCTGCGCGTTCCACCACCCCCCCCATGCCCCTTTCGAGAGAAAAAACGGACAGGGCTTGGAGGGGGGAGGGGGGAGGGGAGCATGGTACGTCCCCCCCCTGTAGCGGTGTTTGACCGGGGGGCCGGCGGAGGGTGACGGGATAGAGGGAGATCGATTTAAAGTAGGCGGGGGGGTGATGGTGCTTAAGCACCGGCGATGGCGGTGGCAGGCAGAGGAAGGGGCAGCCCACCGCAAATTTGACTCTTGCGAGTCTGACTGAGCAAAAGAGCCCCCCAACTAGTGCTGTAGGTGGGAACTCCGAGCGGCGTTTAGTGCGTTGGGGAATACTCCGATCACGTGTGGGGCAGTAAGAAGGATGGAACGATGTAATTTTCCGCTGAACAACCTCAAGATATGCTCAGGGTAGAAAGGATACATAACTTAGAATTTAGTAACACCCATCCTTCGAATCTCGTCGTTGAGAGGGTGTTGCTTATTGTCTCGTCGCGCGATGATATTTTTTTTGGCTTGAAGGCACTGTTTGCTTTTCCCAAGTTGTGGATGGAGCCAATAATCATGCGCTCAAAATGCTTGACATTTGGCTTGAAGACACTGTTTGCATCTCCCAACTTGTGAATGGAGACGTACATCAATCATGCGCGCAAAATGCCATCTGGCATCATCTGGAATCATGCTCGAAGCCGGCACGACAATGGTGATGATGACTTTTCGGGATGGATCACGAAGAACAAACTTGCGAGAAAGGCAATCGGATCGAATGATCATGCACAAGAAGTCAATGACCAGACATTTGTGTGGGATGCGCGCCGGTCATGACAAGCCGACAACCGGTTAATCACCGTGCACGCCCACACAAAACACCACACTCGGTCCTGAAGGGCGTGTCGAGTCTTGGTACCCCTCCACCAGGGAGGAGTTGTAGGACAAGCGACTCAGACGCGGTCGCTCGTCGCGCGGCCAAGCAAAACGGCCCTCAGGCGATTGATTGATGTTTCCGTGAGTGTACAGCGGAGAAAGTGCCACCGAAAACCACATCATCATGTCTCAAATATTTTCTTCCAAGTGCGCACCGCTCGCCCCCTCTCAGCGCCGACAAAACGACGCACGACGTCACATTCGCAGCCCGTCGCTACCGCCAACCTTGTTGTTCGTACTTATAATAAGCCAGCCACAAGAACACGTTGAGCGAGGCGCTGACCACGCAGCGAAATTTTCCTAAGCGCGCAGTGCGAGCTTGCCCCGCGCTCCCCAAACCTATCATGGAACTTACCGCGCGAAACACCTGAAACCGGATCCAACTATAATGCCTGCGGAAAGAGCAATATCCTGCTGGCACATTGAAAGCACTCAAACAGTCAAAGTATGAACAGTGCAGCACCTGACACGCAGAACACACAAAATAATAAAACAAGAAAGGTGACCAAAGAAAAACAAAGTATGGGAGGGCCGACAGCGAAAGATCCAACAAAGCTCTCATCAGTAGACACAAAACAAAACACGCGGTTGCGCCGCCACCCGAAATCAACCAGTCCCTTCTATGCACTATTAGACACATTGCTCACTCTCCTCCACGCCCCCAATAGTCTACCTGGCTACCGAGAGACGGATGACATTTACGTCCAGACCGTGGCCATAGCAAGGGGCATCTGCCCTTCCAAGGTTCCGCAAAGAATGGCTGCAATGCACGATGGGAGTAGTAAACAACTACCAGAGGCGATACATACGCCCTGCAATATAGATACCCTCTCGCACTCCTCTCAGCCTCCACGGGAGCAAGACTTGAAATGCCCAAAAAGGGGTCGGTCGAATCAAATGCGCATGACCCGTCCGCCAAGAATAGCATGGCCATGGACAAGTTACCTTGCTTGTCGAGACTCAAACGAGGAGGCGCCGCAGACCACAACCATCACCAGCCAGAGGGAGGTAGGTGTGGGTGCTATCCCAAAGGGCCGCTCGCTCGCTCGCTCGCTCGTGTTTCCCGCGCGAAGCCAGCCAGCCACGAAACTAATCAAAAAATGCACACTCCGCATCAGAGCGACTTCCCCCTACAGCATAACTGGTGATGCACGACCACGCCCCGCACTCCCCGAGTCTAGATACCGTGACGCCAAAGATGTAACGGCTGCCCATCCCGGCTTGTACCAACCCAAGGTCTCTTCACGCTACCATGTCTTCTCCCAACACCTGGGAGGAGACAAGGAGAGCACCGGCACGAGCCAAAAACGACACGAGATTAAGAAATGCAGGTGTCGAGCTGTGGGCGTTGATTTGAGTTCAAACTGGATTGGAGTCACGTATGTCGCTATCGAACAAACAGCAAGAGGCGCAGGAAGGATATCGGTGATCAAACAACAAGAAAACACCCTCACAGTGCGCGAGACGTGGAGCAAACAGTACATGAAAAGCGTGAAAGTAGAAAATAGGAGATAAAAACTGCCCAAGCGCCATCGCACGTCAGCCTCTGTGAACACGTGTATCTCACCTTTGCGAAAAACCAAAGGCTACAGCACAAAAAAAAAAGAGGCAATCACACACACACGAACACACACACACACGAAACACTCACCAAACACGCGCACAAAAAAAAAAAAAAAACGCAAGGAAACAAGACAAAACAAAACAAGACAAGCATAGCACTTACCGAACAGTGGGGCCACGCGAAGTTGTCGTAAACGTACGGCAGGTCCGACTGGTCTGGCCTAAGAAGGCCGTAGAGCTCCATGTTGGTATAGTATCTCTTGGCCAACGGCGAGGCTGCGCTGTCCTCCAGCTCCTCCTCCGCGTGCTTGTCATCCCAGTCCGGGAACATCCCATGGAACGGCTGGAGGTCAGCCGGGTTGTGACCCACACAAGCGTGGAGCGATTCCCACGTCTCGTTGAAATCCTTCGAACCCAAGCGCTTGAGGTGCCACAACCTGTCGTCGTCGAGGCGTTCGTGGGGGGTTTCGGGGGGGTCGACAGGTCGGAGGGGCGG